GGGGGGGGGGGGGAAGAGACCTTGCAAAATAAAAGCCTGATAATGCTAACCATCACCAAAATAACCCTCCCTTTAAAAACACAGAAACACATGTTTTTAAATCTCTAGCACCCCCATTCCTACCTGGTCAAGAAGAGTCAATACACATAGATAAGCATAGCAGTTTGTAAAGAGACACCACAATTAAGAAATGATTTGGTCAAACCTCTAGCACCATTTTATTTTATTCATACTGTGGTAATCTTTCATGGGGATGTGCAGTACAAACCCTATTGTTGCCAACTTGATGAAGAGTCCTGCAGGATTCAATAGCTTGCCTGTTTTTTGATGTTTTCAGAGGTCCTATAGTGAAAAATGCCTAATGTTGAAGTTAGATTATGGAAAGGAAGAGGCATTGAAGATCATTCTTAGGCTGCTGGAATGCACCAAAACATTTCAGAAGAAGATCAATCTGTGCTTTATAGACTACAGGACTGAGGCAATCATGAAGAGCTACGGATTGTTCTGAAAGAAACAGGCATTATTCAGCACTTGATTGTCCTGATACATAATCTGCATTATGGACAAGAAGCTACCGTTAGGACACAATATGATGAGACAGAATGGTTTCCTATAGGCAAAGGTATCAGACAAGAGTGCATTTTGTCTTCCTGTCTGTTCAGTCTATACATAGGACATATCATATGGAAAGCTTGATTAGATTCAGGAGGAGGAGGAGTAAAAATTCCCATGAAGGCACATCAGTAATTTAAGATATGCAGATGACACCATCTTACTGGCAGAAATCAGCAATGACTTGAAATGACTGTTAGGGAAAGTGAAAGAAGAAAGTACCAAACCAGGACTGCAGCTGAACACAGAAGAAAAAAAAATCCTATGACTGCGGATGACCTACACAGCTTTAATGTCCACAACGGAGAAACTGAAATTGTTAGACTTTGTATAATGTGTGGCTCAATCAACAACCCAAGTGGAGACTGCAGCCAAGAAATCAGAAGAAAAATAAGACTTGGGAGCAATGAAGGAACAAGAAAACATCATCAAGTGTAAGGATGTGTCACTGAAGACCAAGACCAAGATCATCCACACTCTTGTATTCGCAGTCACTATGTAGGAGTCTGGAAGCTGGACAGTGAAGAAGGCTGACAAGATTCATTTGAAATACTGTATGGTGCTGGAGAAGAGTTTTATCTTTCTGGGCTGCCAGAAAGATAAACTAGTGGGTGCTAAATCAAACCAAGCTTGAATTATTTCTGAAGGCCAAAAAGGATTGAGGCACAGCATGAGAAGACAGCATTCCCTGGAAAAGCCAATAATGCTGGGAAAGGTGGAAGGCGGCAAGAGAAGAGGAAGACCAAATAAGAGATGAACTGACTCCTTAAGGGAACCCTTAGGTTTGAATTTACAAGAGCTGAGCAGTGCTGTTGAGGACAGGACATTTTGGAGGTCATTCGTTCATAGGGTCACCATAAGTCGGAGACAACTTAACAGCACGTAACAATAACAGCAGCAGCAACAACTACCACTAAAATATCACCCACACTTGATTTTGAATTTTGCGCAAGAATCAATGGCTTCCCTCGCACAACCTTTTTTACTTGTTGGTTCCACTGTTTTCCTGAGACACACCTCTTTCCTTTAAAAAAATATGCTATCTTCACTATCGAAATCTCACAAACTATCAGTCACTAGAGCTGCCACTTGGCAGGGGAAGCTATTCCTCACTAAAACAAGAGTGAGGAAATCTTGGCCTTCCAGAGAACGGACATCTTTGGCTTGCCAACTTCTTTTGGCCTACAGCGCCTGTAATCCTTTACTGTCAGTCATGCTGGCAAGGCTTCTGGGAAGTGGCTCAACACAGCTGATGGGCCAGACACATCCCATCCCGGAGGTACAGCTTCTTCTGGCATGGAGCTGAACTTTGCCATCTGCTCATGGCAACAGATCACCCTGCCTTTAGAGGGCCAAGGGCAAGGGCCAAGATGACAATCCAACATGCAACAGCGATGTGCATCCGTAGGTTATTACTCAAGAAACTGTGGAAAGAGAGAGTATCTTTTATTTTTGTCACATGTTCAACAATTGGGTAAGCGCAACATACTCACATTTACAACACAAGAAAAGGAGACACTGAAATGGCAAATAAATTTTTTTTGTCACACATGATCTTTACTCACAGTGCAGTAGAAAACAACAGACCAATACAGGCAGTGAACATGTTTCAGCAAATGAATTCTCCACTTGGATTTGCCTCTGATTTTCAAAGGTAAATTGTTATTTAAATGCTTACTCCATTTTATATAGGCTGTTTTATTTTTATTTTTTTTTAAAATGGGATTAATGATGGGCACATCCAGCATGCAATCTGAATTATGTAAAATTGCCAATTCTTATTTTCGAAATTAATTACAGCTCCTGTCTTAGCAGCTTCTTAATCTCCAATCACTGGAAAGTGTTAATGCTTCCTTTCCCGATGTTGGCACCTTAAGGTACTATTAAAAGCCCAGAATGTGTGTTTTTAAACAAACAGACGGTCATCTTTTGTACTTGAAATGAGAAGAGGCACCCTCTTGTTCCTAAGCTACAAAGAGTCTTAGGCTGGTCCCAGGATGATTGCCTTGGACAGACTATTTGCTTTGTTAAAATGAGTGATCACAACAATAAAGATGGCCATAGTAATTTATGGGCTTCCTACAGTACTATTAGTACTGTAATAGTATTGGATGTTCTTTAATACTGTACAGGACTTTCTTTTCTTACCTGAACTTTGGGCACTTGAAATTAAGAGTGATTTGTTGACCTGGTAAGGGGTACAATACAGTACTACGGTTGTAGCCCATCAAATACAGACATTAGACGGGGATAAATATGCAAAACCAGACCCAATCAGGGGTATTTGTTTAATTCCAGGACAACTATGGGTCAGAGCAACAAGCTACTGGTCATCCATGGGAGAGAGCAACAGTCCCACAAGACCCTTTGTGTTATATCTGGCATTTGTGGGTTTCAAAAGCTTCTGACTTTGTAAACCCAGCAATTTGCACTGGGAAAATGGAAACTGAAAAGATTGAGCAGCTGAAACCAAAAGAGAAGGCAAGTGGCCATTGAATGCCCCCCACGCCCCCACCGGCAGTAAAACCCAGGATCTTCTTTGGATGCTCCAAGTATTGAGGCACTAGGGAAGGGTCAACCTAAGGTCACAGTGTGCTATATACTGACCTGCACCAGTGTTAGCAGTTTTTCCTAAGAGCAGGGCAAAGTGGCAGACTTGCATCATAATTGCTAGCTAGGATTTGTGCACTAGAAATTTCTTTTTTCTTTCTTACCTAGTTTAGTTAATTTACTCTGCAGTTTACTATTGAGAAGTGTTTTGTGTGGCTGTGGATGAATGCTTGTGGTCCTTTTGTATGGGCTGTGATTGGTTAGATCAGAATTAGAGTGCTAGGGTTTGTCTTTCCTCCACATCATCTCCCCTTTTTAAACTTTCTTTCTGGTGGTGTAAATCCCACTGCCTGTAGGCTTTTGTGCAACTGCTAAAAGGTTGCCTATAAACAGAAGTAAAATTATCTTATCTACCAAGTCCCTTCCTGTCTCCCTCCCAAGTCACAGCCAATTATATTTCCCCCTATCATGAGAATGGTTCCCCGCCCCTGGAGATCTGGAAATAGATAAATAACATCACTTGCCTGGACAAGGATCAGATCAGAGCATCGCCTAAAGGGCAGAGGGTGGATCATTCCAATCTGTGTGCTTTTTATTCAGGCATGCTATGCTGGGGCTAGGAAGGAGGGTGCATACAGTATTTTTAACAGATACTGTCTTTGACCTATGTGGGATTTATCTAGGCTCAGAAGAAAAAAATATCAAGCCAATTTTAGCAGTTTATAGATGCTGCTGTGCGAACGTATCCCTTAAATATTTAGGCATGCAGATATTGCTGGATTGCCATTGCCGTCATCCCTCACCACTGGCTATGTTAGCTAGCCAATGATAGGAGATGCCGTCCGGCAGTGTACAGAGCAGTGGTTCCCAACCTTGGGTCCCCAGATGTTCTTGGACTAAAACTCTCACTAGCTGTGTGATTTTTGGGAGTTGTAGTCTAAGAACATCTGGGAAGCACTGGTCAAGAAAGAGCTACAAGGTACTCAGTCATTTTAAGATAAGCTTGGCAGCATCAGTACCTAGATGGAAGACAAGCAAGCTCACCATCAACTGCACCTCAGAACGACTTCTGCTTCTCCTCTAATCCCAGGTCTGGCCCCTCACATCTCATTTGAACATTTGTAACATTTTAAGGGGGAGTGGGGGGCACATCTATATATTTAAACATTATTAAAATTGGCCTGTGCCATTCCAAAGTATCAAAATTTGTCTGTAGAAGAAAAAGCAGACATAGTCCCTCCAATGTCATATCCTTTCACTCAGAGGTCTGCGATGGAAAGAGTCTGGTCTTGAGCAGCTTACTTGAAATGTGTTTGGTTCATACGTGCTGTAAAAGGAACATAACTATACCAAGAAAAGTCAGTCCCTCAAGGCAGTGGAGTCTCAAATACCCTTAGAGATCCCAGGCTGGGATGCTGACTGTATTATGAGAGCAAGTTTTACTGTCAAACTCTTCCACCATCAGCCCATGGTGAGCTACCCGCCCGGTCCTTGATGGAAATAGTCCTGATTTCAGGAGGCTGCTTTGACCCGACTCAGAAGGCGGAGCTGAGTCACTGGCTTGAACTTCAACAAAAATCCGATTGCGTGCCCCAGAAAGGAATCCACTGTTGTTCCTATCAGAGTAGGTGTCCTTGGTTTCCCTTTCCATGGAGCATAGCTGGACTTTAAAGGCGTCTTGGAATCCTCTGCGGAAGTTCTCATTAAAGTATCCATAAATTATTGGGTTGATGCTGCTGTTAAAGAAAGCCAGCCAGTGGGCAAAGGGGAAAAAGTAAACTGTGATGAGGTTAAGTTGATAATCAGTTAGGTTCCCATAGTCTGTCAGTAGCATTAAAGTCCATAGGGGCAACCAAGAGAGTGTGAAGAACAGTGCCACCATGATCAACATATTGATAACTTTGATCTTCCTTTTGGAGACCCTTCTTCCTTCATTGTCCCCTGGGTGGGAACCCCGTATGGGCGCAGATGACTTGAACAGTTTGAAGGCAATCCGAGCGTACATGATCACAATGGAGGTCAGAGGGGCAAGGTAAATGTGTGAAAAAAGAATGGTTGTGTAGATCTTGTGCATCTCTTGATCTGGCCAGGCCTCCCAGCAGGAATAAAGTGGATAGGAATGGTTGTAGGCATCTACCATAAAGTGGTATTCATCCTTGGTGACTGTCAAGGTAACAGCAGAGGGGCACATAATAACTAAAGCCAAAACCCAGATGATAACAATGGTGATGAGGGCTTTCCTTTGAGTTAATTTCTGCCTAAATGGGTAGACGATGCAACGAAACCTAAAGGGGAAGGAAAAAAGCAACAGAGTTAGATGCTGGAATATATGATAAAGGAATATATATAAAAGAAACAAGCTTTTTCTTTGTGTCTGTTGTGGTATGTACAGAAAAGTACATTCTACAAGAACTTTTTGTAAATGACATCTTAAGCAACACCCCTTAGCTCTTGCCCCAATCTGCATGAGAAGTTCATAACATAATGGAAGAGATCCATATTTGAATACTGACCTCCTAACTTCTCTAAGAAGGGATTATAATTGTGAGGAAGAAGTCATTAAAAAAAAACATTTGTACAAGTTTTCCCAAAGAGTTCTTATTTCAGAAGATTACCGTGAAGCAAAAGTTGAGAGATAAACTCTCAAAGAGCTTGCTTGGCTCTTGCCATCTGGAAGATGGTACTTAATTGGAACTTGAACATGAATTTCCCAGTTCAGCATTCTTGCCAATCTTCTGTAGATCACTTTGAGGAATATTAGTAAGTCCTGTTCTGCTCATCTCGAATCTAACAGCTCCAGTTGCAGTGCTCTTAGGCAAGATTGCTATGATACTGCACATGGCAGAAAAAGGAATAGAAAACAAGAGATGCAGATGTGGACTTACCTTTCCACTGCAATCGCTACGAGAGTGAACACTGAAGCGGAGACAGACATTCCTTGGACCAGCCCACTCATCTTACACATGATAATGTCAAATGGCCAGCCTGGAATGATAGCTAGCATGTCACAGCAATAGATACACATCTGAATCCTTGAGATAATTTAATGAATGTCTAAGGATCATAGCTACACTTTCTTAAAGGACTAGTAGGGAACCTGGAGAACTCAGTGGTTTAGGCATTTGGCTGCGAAACCAAAGGTTGGGGGTTTGATTCTGCACTGTGCTTCCTTGACAGGGGCTGAACTCAATGATCCAGAGGGTTCCTTTCAGCTCTGCAGTTCTAAGATGATGATGATGATGATGAACCTTCAGCACACCAGATGTTATAGACTACAACCTCTACAGTTCTTTACCATTCGCCATGATGGCTGGAAATTCTGGGAAAGTCCCCCACCCCCAAAACAAAAACAGCAGGAAAGCCAAAGGTTTCCTCACCTATGGTGTAAGAGCAGCTAATCTACACATATTTTAATATTAACATTAAAGTATTGTGATCTGATAAATATTCACGTCCATTTGATGGGTAACTTGTAAATGTGTACTCTACACTGTGCTATACATTTCTCTGTAAGAACAGGAAAAGGTGCAGTGATTCTCATTGATCTGAATGCCTCTGAGTTTGCTGAGCTCCGTAGAGGATTGTATAATTGCCTGGAGGGGGTCCAACGTAGAATGAGAATACACTTATTCATTAAGCTATTCTGCTTACGTTTTGACCTTAATATGGAATATATAACATTGAGCTAAATCAAGGCTGAATCAGAGGACCCATTGAAATCAACAGAACATAAGCTACTCGTTCTTAACTTCAGTCCCATTGGTATCAATATGTTAGCACAAAATATGACTGTACGTATCTGTCATTGGAAGAGTAGAGGCTTGTTTGTGATGTGAGCTGAAGTAAGAGCTACAGCTCTGTTAATTTTAAAGTTGACTTTCATGTTTCCCCCCCAAAAAACACAATGGTTGAACAAGTTACATTTTGGACTACAATTCCCAAAATCCCTCATGTTGGCTAGCTGGGGGTTTCTGGAAGTTGTCATCCAAAAAGTAGTTCTTCCATTTTCTGCAAAGAAGTATGCATATTTACAGTTTGGTAATAGGAAAATATATTTAAATATAATCAGGTTAAACACTTTAAAGGCAAAAAATTATTCAGCTTTCTAATATGATGGGTAGCTCCTATGATTTTACAATGAATTGTAATTTCAATTTGGCCACATTAAACATCAAAACAACCCAACCAAGCTGTTATCCATCTTTCTGTACAGTGCCAGTATGTTATTTTATTGATCAGAGAGGTTTATACACACACATATACAGTACTGATCACCCCTCTTCAAAATTGCTCTGGCATTATTAAATATACCCTATTCAGCTTCAGCCTATAATGTTTGCTGTTTCCTCTAGATGTCTCTATTCACCATCTGATTCCCTTCTCATACGTTTCCATACCGTCAAGTTTAGCCTTGTCATTACCTGGAGTCCCATTTTTGTTGCTATCCCTTAATTTTTCTTTTTTTAATTATTGTAAAAATGTTCAAAGGAAACACCTCCTTCAAGTGAGAATACAGAATACTTTCTTGTTTCCAGACATCGCTTGTTTCCTCCCTTTTATTGTTTTCTTATATAGAGCGGGAGATTAGCTAATTAGATGTCTTTCAAAGAATGTTGAGGCACAAAGCACTGCATGCCACTGTTGAGAATGTCAGGCACCATCCTTAAAAATAGAAGTCTAGCCCTCATGGGGTGGGTGGGGGACTACACTGAGATTTATCCCCCATTTGGGACCACTGTTGGCATAGACAAGTTCAATCTGTTAGTGGAGAGACTGCATGAGGTACAGATAATTGCAAAACAAAAAAACAAACAACCCACAGTTTCATGTTGGTTTCTGTCATGTGTGATCACCAATATCACCAAAGCAGGAGGGGGGTTCCGGTGATGTGACATGAACATCTTGGATGGGATGGCTGCGTGCAGTGGGAATAAACCCTTCTCTTCTGTTTTATTTGCATTGAACTCTCTATTTTTTAAAAATCCAGTTCAGCACAATGTCACTTCCAATAAAATAAAAAGAGACCCTATTTCTCTCTGTTATTGTTGTTGTTTAATTGTTAACTCATGTCCGACTCTTCGTGACCCCATGGACCCCAGCAGGCCAGGCCCTCCTGTCTTCTCTCTGTCAGAGGCATTGATAAGCAGTTGGGGGCTTCATAACTTTTAATCCTTAGAAGCCTAGCTCAACCAGTCTTTCACTCCCATCCCACTCAGACAGTGGTAGGAAGATGGTAGAAAATTGCCAGTGACTAGCCTGGCTTCCATTTCCTCATGTCTTGTATCACACCTCTGTAGCCTAATGTATCTCTCTCTGGCCTCCAGTTGAGGTCTTTCCCTCTCTGCCACCCTGCTTAGAGATTGTCAAGAAAATGTCTCCTTTGGAAGAGGGCCATCAGCTCCTTGCTCCTGAAGGGCCAATCTGCCTAAGATCGGGGGTGGGGGCAGCTTCTGGTCTTCCAGAGACAGAGAAAGAAGGTGGTGTCTGATCTGCCAGAGGACTGCCCTTCCCAACCTGCAGGAGAGGAAGGAGGCTGGTGAGGGTTAGAAAGACACTCCAGCACTGTGTCAGCTGAATGGTTCAGTTGAAGTGTTATATTAATGCAGTGCTATGCCATTTACTTTTTCTAAAGCAATAGACTGGAGGAACGTGAGTTCTGTGCTTCCCCCATATCTAGCTTCCAGCCCTGATGACTGACAGTGGGGGATGAGAGGGAAAGAGGTGAGAAGGTAGAGTTAATAGCAGAGGATGGTGCTCAACCACTGAGAATTGGGGTGATTTGAACAGCAGTGTGGTTTTTTTGTCCTGAACTACCCCAGAAAGTTAATGTTGTCTCTGTGTGTGTGAATGGTAAGATTTATTTAAACATCAGAGTGCCTTTTGAACTTACCCTATTTAGCGCGATCCAATCCCAAAATAGTTTCACTGTTTAATCACATCTACAGTTGCTAATCTAAGTTAGACTCTATACAGGCAGTGTTTACTGTCATCTCATAAGCAAAATGGATTGCTGTATAAGATTACAAAAGCATAAGCAGGTGATTCCTTTAATTTAAAAAATAGCTTTCAAAAATTGTTTAAAATACGGTGTGTCTATGATGTAAAGAGAAACAAGGATTACTTTGCCAATGAGGTGTGCTTTCTGGTTGGAAAATGACACAAAATACTTTTCCACCAGAGGGCTGTTTATTTTAGCATACATATGAAACCCTCATTTATTTCAATCATTTCTGCATATCTACATACCTCTGCTGCTTGTAAATTGTGTATTTGGGAAACCAGCAGAGGCAGTTGGAGAGGCAGCAGCAGCAACAAGAGCCAGAGTGGGGACGGGGGATGGGGTTAGGAGGAAGGAGAGATGGACAGCCACAAGGAGCCTGAAAGGAAGGGGAGGATAGGATCAGTCTGGTGTAGGGTTGGAGGAGTGAAGTGCTGTCTATGGGCAACAAATGGATCAGAGGCACCGATCCTCATGAAACCACATGATTTTGATTTAAGATCATCCCCCAAACCATCTCAGTCATAGGCATCACATCTGCCCACAGATCGGACCGTGACTAGGGATGATCCCATGTAAAAATCAAGAGGATCCATGCTTGGATCACTGTTTCAGTGCAAAACTAGGCACCCTTCATTTCTGTAGTGTATTCCATGGGTACAAGTGGGAAGAGCTGGAGCATTCTTAAAGGGACAGAAGCAGCCAAGCTTTCTAAAGGGGCAAGCAGGTTTGACCCCTCTCTCCCTTCACCACAGAGGCAGGGACGACTGGCCAGTAGAAGAACAGGGTGGATGAGCACAAGGCAAAACCTCAAATGCAACAATTTTAAAAGCCTCAATGTAGTCCTCTCAATCAAGATACCACACAGCTAAAAAATGGTGTAAAGGTTTTCCCAGGAGGATGCATACATTGACTCAAATACCATGTGATTACCAAGTGATTTCTAAATTGATTTCATTTAGAATGGAGTTTGTTGCGAGGCAAATATAAATACAAACAAGCCCTAATAAAGGTATCGCCTGTCCTTGCTTTTGTGTTGTGGCTTTATTTATTTGCTTTTTCTATATATGATTATCAGTGAAGTAGAATTTCAATGTCTTGTGTATTTCCTTTCTATTAGCAAGCAGAGGAGAAAAATGTATTCAAAATAATAAAATATTAAATTAATGTTTCACTTGCAGTGTATAGACTGATAACAAAATTAGCTGGTCTAAAACAGCAAAGCAGGCTGGTTGACTGTGGGCTCGGCATGCAAGCCACTCATTTTAGAAGATGTGCAAAACATGCTCTGCTTTTATTGCCAACTTATCATGTGCTTCTTTGGATCAAACATTCTACCACACTTCAATGATTCAGTTAAAAGAACCACTAAAAGATCTCTCTCCTAAAGTCATCTTAAACTTGAGCTTGAAGAATTACTTGTTTTGACCAAGGCTCTTGAAAACCCCAGCTAGCATGCCCATACTCTTCCAAGCTCTGGTCTAAAAACCTCATTTTTTTTTTCAAATCTCCTCTTGATAAACGGCTCTTGAAAACCCCAGCTAGCATGCCCAAAGTATACTCTTCCACGCTCTGGTCAAAAAACCTCATTTTTTTCCAAATCTCCTCTTGATAAACAGAACAGCAACAACTACTACTACCTAATTCCTTTAAAAAAATACAGCCATTATCTTGTTGCAAACAATAGGATAGGACACTATTTTTAAAGATGCTTTCAGATTTGTGGTTTTAGACTGCATCTCCCAGGATTTCACAGCAGTACTTGCCAGAACTGGACTGCAGCTCCAAGCATTTATTGGGGAATTTCGATTATTCATTTATACAGCAATAGCAGCACAGAAACATAGACAGATGAGCTCAGTCCTCATCTCCTCTCTGCTCCTTTGGTTTCTTTTCCATGCAAACTAGTACTTGCTACGATAAAAATACTCTAGAAATATTTGAAGTAGAAAAAGGTATATTTACTTACAGTTACCTCTTGAATTTA